TAATGAAAATGCTTAATTTTTAAAATATATTGTAAATAAACTAATTATTAAAATTTAATAAAACTTTCAGCATTTATTGAATTTTAAATTTATTGGAAAAAAAAATAATGAAATAAACCAATTCAGTGAAAATATTTTTTTAAAATACCCCCGCCCCCTCAGCTTATTCTATTTTCAAGAAAAACTAAAAGGAAACAAATTAAAAATCGGTTGCTATGAACTCTCGTTCAGTCAGGGAGTAAAAATTTATATTTATCCATTTATTTTTTAGATCAAAGAATGAAATTTGTTTTGAGCAGAAAAAAAGCAAAACTAACAAACTGTGAATCATATCTGAAATAGAATTTGCTAAAAGTTATTTTTCTTTTGACCGAAAGAAAAAGTCAGAAAAAATATCTGACATTTTCATTTTAAATACATTGTTCCCCATAAAAACAAGGATGCTACTACCAATATTTAAAATAGAAACTTTTCTTCCAAACCAACCAGTACACAATTTTTTTTATACTTCAGTTGGAACATTACACAATCAAAACAGATATTATCAGAAATTATTTATGACCAAAATTTATAGAATTGAACTGTTATTACCAAAAGTATGAATATTTTGCCATCCAAAAATGATTCCAACTCTATGAAAAATGTTTTACTTAAAAATCAATATTTGGTGTGGCTACTTTTATTTTTATTGTTTGTAGACTTGATGAGATTAGATTCTGTTGCTACAAAGATTTTCCACTGCAACAGTAAATATTCTTTTAAATATTGTGTTAGAAGTTGGTCATTGTTCTACTTTGTTGTTTTCAGTCTATTCCATAAGCGCACTCTATTTGAATTAAAAATAAAGAGGGGACTTGAAGCAACACAAATATGTTTCTACAGAAGAATGGTGAGGATAGCATGGACTGAATGTGAGCAACAATGAAGCTTTAGAGAAAATGGAGACAAAAAGAAAAATTATATTTAATGTCAGAAAGACACTCAAAATTTCGAGGCCATATAATCAAGGAAGGAGGGCTTGGAAAATCTGATACTCACAGGACAGATTGAAGGTAAGAGGAACAGAGGAAAACAAGCCACCTAGTGAGCTTGAGTAAATAGATGAGGGAACACGATTTAGGAGAAATACCAAAAAGACAAAAAGCTACATAGGACAGGAAATTGTGGAGAGCCATGATCGCCTACACCCTGAAGGGACACAGCACACAAGAAGAAGCTTGAGTAAATGAATGGAGGAACAAGGTTTAGGAGAGATAACAAAAAGACAAAATATATTAAGAGCTACAAAGGTCAGGAAGTCGTGGAGAGCCATAATCAGCTACATCCTGAAGGGACATGACACATAAAGAATAATATGCTCAGCTAATGCTTAGCCTCTTCAAAAATGTTTTTTTTTTTTTGATTTTTACAATGTGTTTTCGATTATTTTCACAATAAAAAATCTCTTCACAAGCATTTGAATAAAAGCAACAGACTTGCTTTCAAATATCTCATCATTTTACAGTTGAAATGGCTTGATGTAACCAAAAGTTACATGCTAACAGTCTCTTCCCTCACACTTCTCACTCGTGGAACTGTTTTCCAGCTTCTTGCTTTCCAGCCAAATTTGATCTTCAAAAATTTACATGCAATATCAATCATTATCTCCTGTCTTCTTAATTCCTGTTCTTTTATTGTTCTTGCTCCCTAATATTGTTTTTTTTTCTTGCTCCCTAATATTCTTTTTTTATTTTGTTTAACGGCATATCAACCTCAATGTGTTAGTTAATGCCAACAACATTTTTAGGATAGATTTGTATGAATAGAATATGTATTCTTTGGTTTAGATTGGTTTGGTTTATTTTGTTTTATGGCATATCAACCTTAATGGGTTACTTAATGCCGACAACATTTTTTATTGCTGGTAATATTTTGTTTTGTCAAAAATACGTTTCTGGTAATATTTTTCTTTCAAAAAAGTATTGCTGGTAATAGTTAACTATTTGCCCATAGCTGGGACCCTAACAGGTGCTACCACCCCGGGTCAGGGTGGACCTGGGAACACCAGCAATTAAGAGGTGGTTCCACACTCCTCAAAACCTCCTGATCAGAGGCCTTGCTGCTGGACATAGTTTATCATCTTACCCAGGACGATTAAAAAGATTGTAAAGAAAAAAATTATATATAATATATATATATATATATATATTTATTATTTTGAACTTACATTCAATATTCATGATTCCATGATTGAAATGCAAGTCACTAGTGTCATTGGGATGCATTCAAAATAAGACAATGGGTTAATTTGCAGTATAAGCACCAAAAACCCCCGGTATTGTTAATGTACGATTTTGGTGTGAAATTAATTATTTCGAAAATCACATTAAAACATTTCTCTTGATTACTGTTTAGAAACTATGGACAATGTAAATTTGACTTCTTTCTTGTCATGTACACAGAATGTCCGCCATTACTGGCTTTGTTTATATACGTTTGCCTCAAGTAGTCACGCAGCACAGAAGCTTCACTTGTCTAGATTACAGCGCAATGAAAAAAGTTTGAAATGAATGCACAAAATAATGTGTGAAAAAAACATAAAATCTGACAAATTAAAATAATTTTTTTTTTTAAATAAAAAAAAGACTTTTTCCTTTTTTTCAATGTTTTTTTTTTTTTATTATGTGTCGTGAAAGTTTCTTGAATTTAAAGTTTCATAAATTACATTTTAGGGTAAGATTCCGTTTCATTAGCTATAAGTAGATTTATTAAAGACAATAAAGAAAAAATACTATTCATTTAAAACTTCATTTAAAAGAATAAGCACATTTAAAAAAAAAAAAAAAAAATCCACAAAAATCACACAGTAATCAAAACCAGTAAGATATGAAAAGCTGTAAAATGGTTGTTAAGTAAGCTTCCACGGATTACTATGAGAGGCAAACGTATGTAAACAACTCCAGTAATGGTGGCTGGACAATGAGAAAGAGATTGAACTTACATTGACAATAAATTGTAAATGGTAATTGAGCATAAAGTTTTAATGTCATTTTCGAAATAATCAGGCAATTTCACACCAGAATGGTACATTCACAATACTGGGAGCATTTGGTGCTTATACTACAAATTAACCAAATATTGTTGTTTATACTACCATGCTAAACTACTGACACCAGAAACATTTTGGCAAAGTTTAACAATCATACTTGAAAATATGTCATAGTACAGTTTTTCACTTGATACTGATATTACTGTACACCCCTGAGGCAATTATTTTCACAAAGTTATGTTTAGAATTTTAATAAAAACCAAACATGAAATTGGACTTTTATTTTTTCTCAAGAATTGACAAAAGAATTAAGCACTATTCTTGTAAATAAACATACTAGCAAATAGTGTTTAACATTTTTGCTGTCATTTCTTGAGAAAAAAAAGTACATTCAGATACTCACAGTCTATTTAGCAAATTTTGGGATTAGAGCAAAGAAAATAAATGCCTGGAAAATGAATTTTTTCAAAATTTATAATTAGTTACTTTATAATTATAATTTATAATTAGTTACTTGTTATGTGCTTATTTAAATTTTCTTGCCCTATAGTTCAAAGACATTTTCATAAATTTATGAATAAAATTTTGTTTTTATAATTATTTCTTTATCATATGGTAAATATTGAATTGTAGTTGGTTTCACATACTTTTTATAATCTTGTAAATATAAAATTCTTCTTGTAAATAATGTTTAATTCTTTAAACACTGAAGATTTATGTTATGAAAATATATATCCTGAATGCCAATTTAGAAAGTTATATCAGCAAAATATCTCTTGAGCCACTCCAGGAAAATCCTTGCTTTCCAAGGCTTCATCACCATTTATAAAGTACTATTATCCAATTCATTACAAAAGAAAACACAAGACTGTGTTCTGTAGCCTTGGATGGCCACCAGTCTAAGTGATGAAAAACTCTGAATTCGAAACTGTGGATAAAGGCAATGGGAAAACACTATATTGTATTTCTGAAAAAAATGTATGTCAATTTAAGAAAAGTAAATTGAGGAGAGTCATGATTACATATATTTTGAAGAGAAATGAAATTTAAAAAACTAAGTAAAGAAAAAGAGATTATGAAAAATAAGGGTTTCAAAATATATTTTCTTTATATATATATATATATATATATATATAAAAAAAATCTAATCTTTTCATAGAAGTATTACACATTTTGGACAGCAACAGTCACCTTTTTGGCAACAGTCACATTTTTGGCAACAGAGTTTCAATGCTGTAGAGTTTGGCCTTAAATAATACCTAATAATATCTGATTTGATTGTGTTATGTTCCAACAGAAATCATAATATCCTGCTATGATGAGCTTAAAAGGAAATTAACTTTCTTTAAAAAACAAAAAAAGTAATAGTTCTGTACTCATGTTTTAGGGATACAGTATGTAATAGTTTAAAACTTTTATTATTATTTTAATCACTTCACTCCAAGCAAGGTAAGAAAGCCATTAAGATGCAGGGGGTTCCTGAGTGTGAAAGAATATAAGAAAAAAATTAATATATCTTAATAAAATATTTAAATAAAGAAAATGCGGATGATAAATTAGTTATCGAAATTAAATATAATAAATTACTTATTGCATAACTAAAAATTAAATATGGTATACACAATGAGGAAAGAGTGCTTGGAAAATTTGATACTCACAGGACATATTGAAGAGAGGCTGAGGGAAACTGAAAAAATGCCTAGTGAGTCATTAATTTATTTTTTATGGCTTATCAACCTTTCATACGTTATTTAGAGCCAGAAAATATTTTTTGATTGTAAGAATTTTTTTTGTTGAGATAATAATGTGATACTGATACATATCCTACTAATTAACCCATAGCTGGGGTGAAAAGAGGTGGATTCATCTCTTTCCCAAGGGTATTTGTGCATAAGTAAATATAACGAACCTGACTGGAATTGGAACTTTGCTCTCCAATTTCCAATTCGTTGTTATCAATTACACATCCAAGCTTACAACACCTGGATATTCCCAAGTAGTCACCCATCTAGGTACTAACCATGCCTGATGTTGCTTAATGTTAGTGATCATAAGAGAACCAGTATTTCAACGTGATATGGCCTTAAGCTGTAAGGTTTTAGGATGATGTGAAAAGAATCAAAAATGCAATCATCAAAATACCAACACAATCAGTCACAATTATTTTATTTTTTTAAATTTGGTGATCATACAAGAAACTTTGTTTCAATGTGATATGGCAATAATGTCAGAATATGGAATCAGAAGGACATTAAGGGGACAAACATTGCTCAGAGTTTTTTAAAAAAAAAGGTTGTAGAAAGTCATGACCACCAAAGTTTTGAAAGGACATTACAAATACAAGAAGATATTGAATAAAATTTTATCTATTTTAAATAAAAATATTACTTTTCTCTGACATTTTTCCTACCCACAAGCTGAAGTTATATTTTTTTTCTCTAAACTTTCTTATGAATCTTTGTTCACATGGCAGTTTCTATTCTGGTTTGTATCAGAGAAAGAGTCTTAGAGAGACAGAAAAAAAAAAAATAAAAAAACTTTTTTTTTCTTTTTCTTTTCTTTCCTATTAGCTTTTGATCTTCCATTAATGTCTACCAAAAGAGGATATGAAATTAGCTGTCATATAATCTTCTTTTGTAGTTATTAGTAGATAAAAAGGATTCATTTCTATTGGCAAAATACTGCGGTTCCTGCCAATTTGTTAACTGAATTCATAATATCTGCTGCTTTCATGAATAGTATAGTAAGTTTTGTCTTCAATATTAGATCACCAATAAGCTCAAACTATGTGCTAAGAAAACAAGAATTAATTTAAAATATTAAATTAAAACCAGTTTAAATAAAATTTATTGCAGCATCGAGAAAAAAAAAATCAATTCAAATTTTTCAGGTAGCAGTTTTCGTTGGAAAGACAAAGGCCAAAAAGATGGTTGCTAAAATTTTAAGTCATTCAAAAAATTCTTAAAAATCAAACAGTGAAATATTTTTTGTTTCTAGTTTTATTATCGCAAATATTCAGCTTGTAAAAAAATTAAATTGAAGTGATTAGAAAGTAAATCTTTATCACAGACCAATTAATCTTACAGACATGCAAACACTCCTCGTGAATGTGTGCACACTCAAAGCAAACATGCATGCATGTACATACAAAGATACACAGAAATGCTCTTTTCAGTTTTTTGTTTTTATAGAAATTTTTCTATAGTAAATTTTACTTTTATAAAGTGGAAAAACAACCCAGAAAAGCTTAGAAAAAAAAAAATATAGAAAAAAAATCAATTTGTAACTGATATTAAAAATTCTATTGATAAAAAAAATCACTTCATTCATAAGTAATTCAAACCAATCTATTAAAATGTCTGTAAGAAGTTGTTTGATAAATAGAATGATCTCTGATTTTAGAAGAATTCTTGATGGTCTTATTCTTCAAATAAAGAGTCATTATCATTCAATGATCTGTTTTCAAATTTGATATTTCTTGATATTTCAACAGATGCATACATTTGAATTTTCATTCATTACTTTACAGGAAGAAGGTCCTTTAAACAGAAATTTTTCATCTCCTTTCATGTGTTTTAATGTATTGAATACAAGAATTAGATATTCAGGACATCTTTTCCAGTCAATTTATTGTCTAATAATAATTCTTCTTGTAGAAAAAATATTAACTAATCCACAAAGTCATACATTCTTTCATCAAGAAACAAGGGCAGTAATACACATGTTCTTTTGACTAAATTTCAGTCTTTTATCAACATCCCTCATTTCATACCACTGTTATGGAAACTTAAATGAATATTAAAGTCCATCCTCTTTAATCTCGCACTCCATGATCCAGCTATTCCCATGGTCTGGTACTTTTTTTTTTTTTTTTTAAATCAGCTGCCACATGTTTATAAATTTACAAGGCAATTAACAGCAGCAGAGTGTTTTGGTGATACGGTCATGTTCAATTCATATATATATATATATATATATATATATATATATATATATATAGTTGCATACCTATTCAGAATAGAAAGTATATATTATTTTTTGGTTTTAAGCTTCTTTTTTTCTTTTTTTTTTCTTCGCCTTTGTATTGCATGAAAGAATAAAACCCTTGTTTGGAAGCATTAATGATTGTTTTATTTCCTGCTTTAAGTTTTAGTCGACTTTTGATGACACAGCAATATTTATGTGGAATGAGCTAGCAAGATTATATTTACATAGGGTTTTTTTTTTTTTTTTTTTAAGGGTGATATCTGTCATTTTCTGTAGTCTGGTAGCAAACTGGTCCCAAGGCTGGACTGTATGAATACATTCATCACCTAATAATGAATCCAGGATTTGTGTTTTAGGAAGCTGTGCCTGAAACATCATCCAGAGAGACATCACAGGAGACAATGGATTTACCCATTGTCTTCTGAAACTGATATCTACATCAATAAGTTCATAACCCAATAATAAAAAAAGCTTTTATTTTACACAAAATTGACATCTTTTAACCTCTACTGTCTTGGGATAGGCGTCAGGTATCAACACTGGAAAAATTCATAGTTCCAAAAGCAGTTTGTGGCTGTATTCTGTGTTATCCTGGAACCATAAGTGGAATATTTACTTTTACAATGGATCATTTCAGTAATATGGAGAGGGGAAACTCGTGCATATATAACAGTGTCTTCCATATCTACCTACCCAGGTCTTGTGTGTTGAAGAGATGGAAAATGGGAAAACCACAAAAGGCCACTGTGATTGAAACATTATCCCTAGCAAAACTCCATCGTCTCCTGAAACTTATAAATGTCATGGAAGAGATTTTTTTCCACAAAATGTCTTTCCTTGTAAATGCACTTCAGTGTTGAATATTAATCACCAAGATTGAATATTGCAGAGTGAAAATTTAAGGTTGAAATTTGGCTAATAATCATGTCTCAGATTGCATATTTAAGGAGTTAAATTTAACAGAGTTTCTTTAAGAAATAAGTTTTGTTTCTCTTTGTTCCAACCTTTATAAATTTCAGTCAAAAGTCATTTTTCTGGTTCAAATGTCAGGCCGATTTAACACAATGAAGAAAGCATATTAATACAAATTCTTATTAGACAGTCGGAAATAACGACAATGTGACACTTCTAAAAGAAACAACTATGACTTAAAAGTAACCTTTCCAAAATAGAAAATATAACCTTTAATTGGAATGAGAATAGGAATGTGAAACTAAATTGTAAACATTTCAAATGCCTTGGTTTATGGATAAGATAACAAAATTTGTAGGGGAAATTAAGAAAGTGAACACAGAACAGATTGTGCTAAAGCAGGGGTTGGCAACTCATTCGACCCCGCGGACAGGATCATGTTATAATGACAGGTCGCGAGCCGGACGAAGGCCATTAATCAAAAATTAAGGAAAATTACATATGCAACCTAAATATTTAAAACCATAATGAAAATAAACATTGAGAAATCAGAAAAACAAAAGAAAATCTAAAATTAAAAAAAACACTTAACAAAAATTACTTTTCCTCAAGGAACATCAAAATACTTCAAAGTGAAAAAAATCAATCAAAGTGAAATGGATGAAATTATGACATGTAGGTTTGAAACTGTTATTGAAAATTGTTCCACACACACACACACACACACACACACACACACAAACAAAGCACATATACCCATACATACAAGTACAAATAGTTGCAAACATATACACTTACATACGTACACATGCGGTATCATCCACACATTCATGAGGCATATATGTATAATGCGCATATGTTTAACTGTCTTTAGATTTCTGCTACCTCGCATGTCAGTCCCTCCCTGGCCTCTTTCACTTTATTGTTCCTTTCGCTTCTGTTATCTTTTAATGTAGCCAAGGGTCATAACAAATATGTATCCATTATTTGACATTAAACGTAGGCAACGCAACTTGGTAAAATAAGTCTCATGAAAGATAACTGGCAGATAGTCTAATATTTTTAGTGCATTGAGATGTTCTATGGAAAATGACATATAACAAATTTCATTTGAAGGCCGTCTCTCATGTTAAAAATAGTTGTTGGTAATCAGGCTCGCGGGCCGGTCAAAATGCCTACCGGGCCGTAGGTTGCCGACCCTTGTACTAAAGGTAGTTTTATCCCAAACTACAAAACCAAGACATTAACCTAAGAACTTGGGTCATGTTCTTAAATAGCCTTATCAGATCTAGACACATGTGGGTGTCATGTACAGCATCCACCTCATTCAGAAATACCTAAACTATCATTTGTATACAATTATTTCTTTTCTCAGATCAATAATTAAAAATGGTTCCAAGTGAATGAATCCTTTCAGTCTTAAAAGAAGACAATCTTTCATCAAATCCTTTAAACCAGTTTTTCTCAAGTGATGGCCCCAGAACCCTGGAGTTCTGCAAGAAAAAGTGATAAATAATCTATTTTTGAGTAAATTTTGTTTAATTTTATGTTCATAATTTTACTAAACACATATGGCATATTGTTGTAAAATCCTTGGTTATAATAAACGCTTCAACCTCATACATTATTTAAAATTATAATAATCAAAGGGAATGTATTTAGCAATGTCTATATGGCATCTGTGTGAAACCACACCTTCACTGGTTAATGCAGACATATGTACCATTGAGTAACTCGCTTGAGTACAGGATGTATGCATGATGTTCATATACTGTGTAGCCTGTGAACCACAATAAAAAAATATATATATATATATGAGATAGATATCAATAATGGTGTATTATAATTTTTATACAGGAGTTCCCTGAGACATGAAAACTATTTCAAGAGTTCTAACAAGAGTAAAAAGGTTGATAAACACTGGTAGCGACCGATGCTACAATATCAAAGTTTTACCAAATAACCAATGCCACATAACTTGAAAACTTCAAACAGCAATAACAACAGACATGGCTAGCACAAGTGACTGAAAGAGAAAATAATGGTAGAATCAAGATTTTAACTTTCTACATTGCCTCGAACAAAAGGTTTGGAAGGAAATTCCACTCAGTACAAGAAAGAGTAATAACAGTAGATTTGAGAAATCTATTTTCCTAAAAGACTGTTTTAAGAGAAAGATTTTATA